TTTTCCTGCTTAGAAAGTCGTCTAATACGAAGGAAAATACGGTACTCTTAGCCACTTGTATAGAGACATATGTGCTCTTAGCATTCTAATAGAAAAAAGAGAAATCCCACATCGAACCACTGCCATGTTTGCAATCAAAGTGTTGAGCCAGGGTGTGTATGTGTCTGTGATTCCAGAACTTGGGCAAGCCCTTGGACAAGTCATACTCTCTCAGCCTCAGGGGAAAGCAGTGGCAAACTTCTGAACAAATTTTGCCAAGAAAACCCCATGACCTTAGGGTCACCATAAGTCAGAAATGGCTAGAAAGCACACAACAACAACAGATAGTCCACCTATGCTGATGGCAAGTAGGAAGATGATCAGCAAGGGCACGTTTTCATTTCTGCCTCTTGCTTTTTGATGCAGATTGTTTTTTAAAAAATTCTAGCACTTGCAATATAGCAATAGCAAGTACATTTCTATACCGCTGATCATTGAACTAGCACTCCCTAAGTGGTTTACAATGTGTAAGCCCATTGCCCCCAACAAGCTGGGTACTCATTTTATTGACCTACGAAAGGATGGAAGGCTGAGTTGACCTTGGAGCCCTCCTTGCAGAAATGTTTTTTTCACAGTCTTTCTTTGTTGGGAGACTGGGAAATATAGCTCATTCCTGCTAGTAGTACATTGGCTGGACAAACCTTTCTGTTTGGGTCTTTAAACAACTTATTTGTTAGGATTGCTCTCTGTTTCTGACAAACCCTCCCTACCCAACTGCTGCTCCAGAGATTAGGACCAGAAACAATGGATGCAAGCTGCAAGAAAAGAGATTCCACCTCAACATTAGGAGAAACTTCCTGACAGTAAGGGCGGTTCGACAGTGGAACACACTCCCTCGGAGAGTAGTGGAGTCTCCTTCCTTGGAGGTCTTTAAGCAGAGGCTGGATGGCCATCTGTCAGGGATGCTTTGATTGGGAGTTCCTGCATGGCAGGGGGTTGGACTGGATGGCCCTTGAGGTCTCTTCCAACTCTAGGATTCTATGATTCTATGATTTTCCAACCTGTATTTTATGGCCACTGATTCTTAATATGGTAAGGGTCCAGCCACAGTTTTGTATACTTCTTGCTATTCTTAGGACTTTCTCATGGTGTTCTGTAGCCCTTACGCTCTGTGTCCATTCCCTTCCTGCAGGTCCTGGCAAGTCTGAGGAGCGTACGTAACAATTTCTCCATCTTGGCAAATGTGCCTACACCAACATCTAATAAGTAAGTGTGTCAGCCTATTTTAAGATATACTTGAATGTGACTCTTTATAGGATTAATTTCTGTTGCCTGTTCTTTGCTAGTAGTGGAGTCAGTTCTTATTCCACCATGCCTTCTAGCTAGTAGGACAAAAAAAAAAAAAAAAATGAGGTGGAAGGATGGGGGAGGAAGAGAAATTAAATGCACTCATTCCACTTCTTAAATTCTCACAGGCTGCATGTCATACCAAACCTAAGGAATGGGAAGGGAAGGGAACGGACTACAGTTTCTAGAATCCCCTCACCCAAATGAGACCATTGGGGGAGTCCTCCAAGCTGTAGTCCAAGCAAGTAACTTTTCCTAAGCTTTCTGCTGGATTCTGTTTAAGCTTTGTCCCCTCCACCTGAACGCTTCTTCTTCAGTTAGGCAAGAAAGGAAGTGAAAACTATAAACAGTTTTCTCAGTTCACATGGCTGAAAGAGCACTCTCAGAGAGTGAGATCTTCTGCTGCTTTCAGCCATGATGGACAAATGCAACCTCCAGTCCAGATCCATAAGCTCCGTCTCTCTGCAATACCCAGAAGGCAACAAAGTGGAGCCTTAACACTCCACTTTGAGCACTATCTAGTACTTGATATGGATTGTTGCAAGAGAAAGACTATTGGACTAGGTCAGGGATGGGCAAAATGTGACCTGTAGACATTAGGGAGCAAATGTTTTCTGTTTGGGCCACTTGCCCACCCTCAGGGTTTTTCTTATATCCACGCTGTAACTACATTTTGGAGGGCATGGATGCACTTTAGAGTCCAATCAGCTTCCTGAAACATCTGACTCTTTGGGGCATTAAATGCCTCCATGCCAAGAGGTCTAAGCTTTATTTAGCATAGCTAAAAAAAACCCTTGGAAAGATACTCCAAAACAGGAATAGTCTCTACCGTGCTTTGTAATGTCTAGGGAAAGGTACCATATCTATAGTGATTAAACAATGTATCCAATATTCTTCAATTACACACCAGAAGCCCTTATTCTTATATTACTAAAAATAATACCAATAGTTGAACAATTTTGTAGGAATGGATTGCTACAGCGATGTTGAAGAACCATATTCAGTCTTCATGTAGATGTCATAAAAACATCACTCAGACATGGTCAGAGTGTGAAGACTTGATCAGGAGTGTTCAAGCTGAGCAATATTGTAACTCAATATAAATAAGATATTGTTACTGGACCACTAATTTCATTTGTTTCTGAAAAATGCTGTTTGTTTTGTATCAATACATTGTGTGTTCCTACAAAGTTGTGCAACTTTTGGGATTGTTTTCAGTAATATAAGAATTCAGTTGTAATAATAAGGTTTTTTGATGTGTTATTGAAGTATATTGGATACATTGTTTATTTCACTAGACTTGGCCAGTCTTCATTCTTATGGTATTTTGTGACCTTTTTTCCTGGGTGGCCCACCAGATGTGGCTTGATTTTAGCTTCCATCAGCCCTAGCCTTCATTAGCAGTGATCAGGGATGATGAATACTGTAGTCCAGAAACATGTGAGGGGTGTGTGTATGTGCGCGCGCACACACACAGACACAAAATTTTATTAATTTAAATCATTACAACTTATTACAGCTTCTTTGTGCTGCACTACAGTTCTGTGGCACGAAGGAAACTTGTAGCACCTTGGAGAAGAAGCTTGTAGTATAAGCTTTCATAGACATTGGTCCAATCCACACTGCAGAAATAATTCTGTTTGAGACCACTTTAACAGCCCTGGCTCAGTGCTAGGGAATCTGGGAATTGTAGTTTATTATGGTACAATTCCCAGAATTCCCTAGCAATGAACTAGGGCAGTTAAAGCGGTGTCAATTGGATTATTTTTGCAGTGTGGATTGGACCTCAGTCTATTTCATCCAATTCCATGGCAGTGAAGCTGTCTTAAAGCAACGTCTCATTTTTTTTAGGTCGGTCTTTCTTTCTTTCTTTGGGCCTTTGTAGACTGCCAGAAATAGTGCAAATTGAGTCCACTTTAACTGTCCTGGCTCAGTGCTAGGGAATCATGGGAACTGTAGTTTCCAGAGCTGACAGAGAAGGCTCAATGTCTCAGAAAAAACTACAGTTCTCATGATTCCCTAGCACTGAGCCAGGGCTTTGCACTCAATGTGCACTATTTCTAGCAGTCTGCAAAGGCCCTTTCTTTCTTTCTTTCTTTCTTTCTTTCTTTCTTTCTTTCTTTCTTTCTTTCTTTCTCTTAGGGGTTGTCTACATGGGCGATTTATCTCAAATTCCCCCCGGGTTTGCTGTGTCCTATTCACATGATGCAGGTCAAAACCCCAATTTGAGTCCGGAATGTCTTCACGATGGCCCCACCTGATTTGGGGTTCCCTCCCCCTAAACCACATTTAAATGACTCCCCTTTTGCTATGTAGCAACTTGAGACTAATTGAAAGAAAGATGTTGGCAGGATAATAGCATAGCTGGCTGCCTCGTTCTGACCTCAGCAGCCATGCCGGGCAATGAACAAGGGGCCATATGGGAAGGCAGCTACCCATCATGTGCTGCAAGAGCCAAAACCCACAGCAAAGGGGGGAATGGGGGAAATTCAGGACAGGAATACCTCAGGAGCATCCTGCACTACTCTGGCAAGTTTAGACCTACCCTTGGACTCAAGGTGGCTTACAAAATACTTTTTTTAAAAAAGAAGTTAAAAAACCTGATAATAAAAAAGTTAAAATGCAATTAAAGATGTTACCATATTAAAACACCAATAAATTTTTAAAAATTTAAAACCATAATAAAAATGGGATGGGCCCTGTGTTCCTTCTCCTTGTGGGATTAAATTGCCTTCCTATCTATACAAGGGAACCCCTTCCTCTTTTTTACAACTTATCAAGGGTTGTTCTTGCTCTGTCTAAAAATGGAGGAGTCACTAGTCCCTCAAAAATTCATTGAAGTTGTCCTCACATTCCTTGCTTAAATGCCCTCACACTTAACATTTCACTTGAAGGGACTAGGTTGGATTACTAGTCTTTGGTAGTACTTTGGTAGGTCACTAAAGAGCAGTAGGTACCTGGAAGTCTTCACACCAGGTGTGTTGTTCTAAGCAACTGGGGGGGGGCAATACACTACAGACCATTCATGACTATGTTGCAAGGGCGGTACCAACGTCTCTGATCCTGTATTTTCTTCTTCTCTTTTCTGCCCACTTAGGAGGTCACCCATGGGTAGCCAGCCAACTGTTTGTAAAGCCATGCTCTCAGGTAACAGAAATTTGGTGTGTGGAAAACTGAATGGGAATATGGGAATTGAGGGTGGGGCAGAGCAGGGGATAGTCAACCTTACAGCCCAGTGTTAGATCTTAAGATCAAAGAAAATCTAACATTGCAGTTGACCTTGTATCCATTTTCCTGAACCTTTTTGTTGTGGTGTACCTTCAAGTAGCTTAAGGAGAACCTATTACATATTTTTCTTGGCAAACTTCTTTTCAGGAGGAATTTGCCCTTGCCTTTCCCTGAGACTGAAAGTGTGACATGTGTGAAAGTGTCACCCAGTGTCTTGCCATGGCTGAGCAGGGATTTGAACCCTGGTCTTCCAGAGCCCTAGTTCAGCATTCCAACCACTATACCATGCTTAGCCCATATTATGGGATAATATGAAAATATCCAGAACATAGCACCTTTCAGATGTTGTTGGACTGCAGTTCATTGCATTCCTCACCATTAGCTATACTTGAGTTACAGTCAAACAACATCTGGAGGGTCACATTATTCCCACCTTTGCTGTGTACCCACATCTTTCACTTGTGACACTGCTTCCTTTTTCATTTGAATGATCCTCTTGCTCCTTCGCAGAGCATTGCTAACTCACAAGCTGCACTTGGGAAAGTTACTTCTTTGGACTATAACTCAGAGTTCCTGAGGCAGCATTTCAGTATTACCCATGTTGAGTTTGCTGAGAGTGGTTAAAGCCTCTCCCCTCCTCATAGACTGATATCGTATGAAGTGCAGGTTTTGCAAGCCTACCTTGAGACCTCTCTGCACCTTTCACTCTAAAAGGCCCCTGGGTTGCCCTTGCCAGTCCTGGATATGCATCATCCTGGGGGACCTGACCTTTATATCCCTTCAATGTGACAGTTACTTTGCAGTATAGAAAGGGCAAGGCCAGAGGAACATAGTTGTTGGTGGTGAGAGAGCCTTGAGTTGTTGCTCAAAATATCACTCAGAGCTAATGTGTTGGCTTCTTCTTTTACTGCTTCTGCAGAGGAGACGTATCAGCAACTGGCCAGAGAAACCTTGGAAGAGCTAGACTGGTGCCTTGACCAGCTGGAAACCATTCAGACCTACCGCTCTGTCAGTGAGATGGCTTCCAACAAGGTAGGACAGCACCAACATTTGCCATCTTTAACAACTGTATTCCACCTTTGTTGCTAGCGTGTTGCCAATATCTACCTGCCATCATGTTCACCAAACACTGGCCCACCTGTTAATCCTTCCTTGTTGTTGGATATTACAAGTAGGCCCTGCATCAAAATATGGCAGTGTGGTGTGACTCTGTTCACTGTTCCAGCCAGCCATGCCTTTACCTATGATACTTCATTCCAGGGGTAGGCAACCTTTCTCCTTTAAGGGCCGAGGGACTTCAGCTCCCAGAAGCCTCAGCCATGTTGGTCAATAGTCCCATGTTGGCCAATAGCTCCTGGGATTCTGGAAGCTGAACTCCCTCAGCCCTTAAAGGGGAAAGGTTGCCTACCCCTGCTTCATTCCATTCCCTGTCTCATCCATTTTTGCATTTTATCTCCAACACCTAGCCAGTATTCAGCAAACACTGAGCTTCTTGTTCCTCATGAAGCTGTTTGTGCACCTTTCCCCAACACACAGGGGTTTTGTTTCTACAAAGGTGTGTTGGTGTGTTTTCTTTTGCAAAATTCAGTTTCCCTTTGTTGCCTTGTGTGCAGATGGTGCCATTTTGGCTGCATAATCAGCAACATGCATGTTAACTCTGTAAGTTGGGAGATCTAGCGGGATGTTGTAATAAAATGCTGTAGCATGGAATGCTTCTGTTGGGTTTTCAGCCCAATCCATTCCATTTCCCTCCCCTTTCTCTCCCTCCCAGTCCCCATTGGTCATGTTCAGTCCTCAGTGAACTGGTTTGGATTTGTTTCATCCCTTAGAGTTTTGTTCCCTGATTTGAGGAGGGGGTGGACTCTTGTAAGCAAGGAGCTGTTTTTCCATGTTTCGGTATTTCTGTGTCATGTGCATGTATGGTGTCATTATGGCTACGTACGCAATAGTTCTCACAGCCTAAGCATTGGGAATGCAGGAGGAACTATGAAGATTGTGCTGCCAATGCCCTGTCTTAGTTCGTGTGCTTCTCATGCACACACACTCTACAGTAATCCAGAGTTGTTGTTGTTGTGTACCTTCAAGTCATTTCTGACTTAATACAAACTTAAGGCAAACTTATCATGGATTTTTCTTTGCAAGATTTGTTCAGAGGAGGTTTGCCTTTGCCTTCCCCTGAGGCTGAAAGTATGTGACTTGCCCAAGGTCATCCATTGGGTTTCATTGCGGAGCTGGGATTGGAACCCTGCTCTCCAGAGTCATAGTCCAACACTCAAATCACTTTGCCATGCCGACTCTACAGCTCTGTAGATATCACAAAAATACAACAAATGCGAACGGAAATACCAGCATTAGCTCTGTAGATAAACCACTGATATTTCCGTTCACCTTTGTTATTGGCTGACACATCATTTTAAGATCTAGCTGCCCAGAGTCTGGGAATAAGATGAGTACTCAGATGAATCCTGCACCATTTTGTGGTTGGATTTGAGAGCAAAAAGCTGGCAACTCTTAGGTGAAATTGGCAACCACCATTGATCTAGCATGGGGAGCTCACAACTCCCATTGCCTGAGATAACTTAACAGCAAGGCCCTTCCCCAAAACATTTTTCTGAGAACGCTGATGATAGAGATGTTTTAAACTTGAAAAATGGAAATGACCTTGTGCAGTCCAAACCAGGTAATGCATGGCTTTATGAAATCCCCACACCTATCTGATGTGGTCCTTCAGTTCCAGGATGATGCATTTCATTCTTTCTTATGAAAATATAACATACATCGTACTTTTGACTCCATACTTGCAAAGAGATTCTCTGTTCGTGACATGGGCATGGCATGAATCTTTGTGGCCAGGGATATAAGATTTCTTTCACCATTCCTGCTGATGGCTTCATTGCTGAGTGGTCAGCTAGGATTTTAAAGAAAGTGAGGAGGTGCTAGGTTGGAATTGGTCGTAGAGTGTCTTGTGGCAGAAGATGGCTTAGAGCCTTAGCAGAGAACTCAGGGTCCCATGTGAACGGACAGTGCTTTATGAGAGACATCCTGCAGGCCGCAGCGGGTGGTGGTTCCCATATTACTGGAGCAGTGAATCCATTCTGGATTTGAGTCTGAATTTGTTTTGAGGATAGAGTTCAGCACTTTTGATAATTTCTTTAGATTCATACTAAAACCAGAACAGATTCAGTGCTCCACTGACATGAGAGCCACCAGCCCTTCTCTCTGCATGGGAAAATTGCTTTGACTCTCTATAAGTGAATTTTTTATCTAGCAGCATGTTTCCTCTTTTTTTAATGCTCTGTCATTAAGGGCTTGTGAGCTAAGCTTCCTGTGAATGCCCACTGTATCCACATTAGAACTCTTCTTCGGTTATTTTTAATTTATATCAAGTTTAAAAACCTGAGGTTCTGTAAATGTGAGGAGAACACAGGAACAGCATTTCTAAGCTTTCATCGTGGGAGAATATGAGTTTACAGCGGGGAAAAAGCATGGGAGATCAGAGTTAAAACTTTTTGCCAGGACAACTTCAAGCAGCCACATGGACTTGCTAATTAGAAAAAAATGAAGACCACATAAGATCCTAATTACATATCTCCTGTGTCAAGTCTGGTTTTTCTGTGCATCAAAGGCAGGGTGCTGGTGGGGTGGTGCTATCATTATTATTTCAAAGCAGCTTGCAAAAGTTAAAACAAGTACAGTTACCCATTCACATCATACAAAAGTTAAACATGCAATTAAATTAGCAATAAAATTAGAAGCAATTAGAAACATTACCATTATAAAGAAACCAGACAGTATAGTACATGATGCAAGGCTTTTAGCTATGTGGGTAATGTCAGATGGAAGGGTACATACGGCATTCCAAATATTACTGAACTGCAATTCCCAGCAGCCATAGCCAGCATAGCCAGTGATAAGGAATGCTAGGAGCTGCGGTTGAATGACATCTGTTAAGCCACACAGTTCTCGCCTCTTGTCTGAAGTTTATAATATTAGGCAGCAACCTAGAGCCTTGACCTATGAGTAGACCCAGCAATGGGACGAAGCAAAGGGAGTTTCCACCTTCATACACTGTATCTACTACTTGATAAGAAAGCTGTTCACTTTTGAAGCAGCATATTTTTTGCTTTCAGTTCTATCGTAACCAAAAGGAGAGGGACTATAGTATCTGTTTAGATTCTCTGTTAACCCATCAAATTAAATAGGTTGCATCAGAAGGCTAGCCCACACCTACATAGGAGAAAAAATTCCAGGTTCTTTGCTCCAGACTGGAAGAGGTCCTCTGGCTGGGAGGGCTCCAGCAATGTTGCCATTTTCACCTCTGAGATAGAGAATTAGAAAATATATTTTTGGACTACAACTCCCAGAATCTCCAGCTAGCCCAGCCAGTGAGATGGTTGGGGGCTGACTCTACAAAACATTTCCAAGCTCTGTTGTGAATGACTATCTCTAGCATCACTCCCCAGGTTTCGGGATGATAATGCTAGCTTACACTTGCATGGTGGGTGTAAGAATAGCTGAGGTCATGTGTTCTGAAGTGCTTTGAATGCTGCAAAGTGCACTATAGCTCCTAAGCTTTATTATAACTGTCAAGTAAGCCTTCCAGCCTGCTGTTTTTCAAGTGGCAGTTTTGCTGAGACATGGTTCCTCATAATGTCTTTTGGGAAGATCTACTGCATGGCTCCCATTCAAGGAGTTTCCCTATAGGGAAGTAATTAGTGCAAGAAAAATGTCCCCTGTAAAAGCCATTTTTGTTGCCTAGTCCAACCTTCTTCATGATACCTAGGCTTTGCTGCTTGTGACACGTGCCTCATAGTAGGGCCATGGCAGGGGAGAACTCTTTGGACCTCCAGGTGCTGGGAAGCTCAACTCCCAGAAGCCCCAAGTATAAGGGATTATGGAAGCTGTAGTTGAGAGGCTCCGGAAGGACCAGAGTTTCTCTTACTCCTGGTTTAAGCAACCGTTTCCTCTTAGACTGTCTCTTATATTAGCCATCCTCTTGTCCCTTTCTCTTGTACAGGGGTAGGCAACCTTTCCCCTTTAAGGGCCGAGGGACTTCAGCTCCCAGAATCCCAGGAGCTATTGGCCAACATGGGACTATTGGCCAACATGGCTGAGGCTTCTGGGAGCTGAAGTCCCTCGGCCCTTAAAGGGGAAAGGTTGCCTACCCCTGCTCTTGTATTATTCCTTCTATCCTTCTGGCTTTGGGAACATAAGTCCTGAAGAAAATATCTTCCTGTGGCTAAAGGTAGACATGGGAAAGGATTCATTCTGGGATGGGGGAGAGTACCTTGAGAA